GAGCGACAGGGGAGGTGGTCGAATGCGGAAGTGGGGGGTTTGTGACAATGGAAGAGGGCGAATGTGGGGGGTGTTTTAGAAAATGGGGTCGAGGGGAGACGACATATGAGGAGAGGGGAGAGAGGAAGAGAGAACAAGGCAGGAGAGGTAGGGAGGGAAGAGAAAGCGGGGAGGTTTTACAGGAGACGTCGCCCTGCAGCAGCGAGAGTGCGCGCTGAGCAATGGACGGCTTGGCGTTATGCGAGGCGGGGTGCTGGCGCAGGCTCGTCAGCGAGTTGGACCGCGGCAGCTGCGCCAACCTGCGCGCTCCCCCACTCCCCCCCGCCGCTGCTGCATGTGCCGCCACTGGTGCTGATCGGTCGTGCGGGCCGCTCATGCTCCCAGCACCGCTCGCTGCAGCATGGTGGTACGAGAGGGGTCCGCTGCGGCTGATGCCGCTGCCCATCATGGATGGCCCCTGGCTCATGCTGCTCGCATGCATGGCACTGCGTGCCGTGGGGTGCGGCGACGCTCCTGCACCGCTCGCACTTCTGCTGCTGCCGCTATTGCCGCCGTGGTATGGTTTGGAGGAGCGAGCAGAAGACGAGGAGGTAGCGCCTGCCGCCTTCACCTCCCTCTCCCTTCCCTGCTCCCTCTCCCTCTCCCGCACGCTCTCCCTCGCGCCGACCTTCGCCTTCTCACCGGCACCGCCCTTGGCAGCGACTCCCTCGTCCCTGTACCCGTCCCGGTCCTTGCTACTACTACCGAAGAGGCGCATAAGCGGGATGTAGAGCGGGCGATGCCCGTTGGGCGTGGCGTCACCCGCTGCTTCCGGCGCACATGAAAATTGAGGGCACGAGGGGGGAATTGAAAGAGAAAATGAGAGGGAGTGTGAAGCAGGTGAGAGGAGGAAACGAGAAGCGAAAGTTGAGAATTGAGAAAGAATTGGTGAGAGAGACAGGAGTTGAGCGGCGGTGAGGGCGAAAGCCGCATGCACCAGTCTGCCCGTGTACTCACCTGCTGCTCTGTTCCCCGCGCTCTTCCCCTCCGCCGCGCCCACCGCCGCGCCCACTCCGCCCTTCCCGCGCTTCGCGAGCGCGAGGCGTCCACCGCCGACAAAGAGCACCATACAGGCGGGCGGAAGGCGCTGCTCCAGCGCGCGCGGGGAGAAGCGCCGCCCCATGCTGCGAAGACCACGGGGAGGGCGGAAAGCGGAGCGCGAGCGCGCGCACGGTAAGGAAGCAGGGAGAGGGGCGGATGGGCAGGGGGGAAAAGGGATTGGGGAGAGCGGACGTTAGTGGAGCGGTGAGGGGCGAGGGGCGAAGCGGCGGGTGGCAGTGGTAGCGGTAATTGAGAGCAGCAAAAGCAACGCCTCAAAACAAAAGTGCTCTCGAGTGAGAGGGAGATGGCACCCCCAACGCTCCTCTCCTCCCTCGTCCTTTCCTCCGCCGCGCACCCCCACCCTTTCCTTCCTCGCACACTCTTCGTTCACTCACCCGTCCTTGTGCACGACGACCCGCGTCGCCCCCAGCAGTCTCGCCTCGTCCGCCACCGCCTGCTCCTCGCACGCGCCGTGCACCACGCGCACCGACGCCGCCACCTTTGAGGGCGGGGACGGCAGGGGAAGTGGAGGGGGAGGAGAAGGGGAGGGAGAGGGGGACGGGAATGGGAGGGGGAAGGGGGACAATGAAGGGGAGGGGGAGAGGGACAAGGAAGGGGAGGGAGAGAGGGACGAGGAATGGGAGGGGGAGGGGGACGGGAAAGTGAGGGGGAAGGGGACGGGAAGGGGAGGGGACATTGTGGGGAATAGAATCGCTTGCTGCTCCCACGCGCCGCGCACTGATACCGCTCGTTTTTGCAGTGCAGTCTCGGAATACGCTATAACGCGTACGCACCTTCTTCTCGTCGCAGAGCGCCTCGAAGCCCCACAGCAGCGCGGAGAAGATCTCCAGCTTCCGCCGCTGGTCCTCGCGCATCTCCTCCAACCGCGGCGGGCGCGCGCCTGGCGGAATGCGCCGGCAGGGGAGGCGAGGAAAAGGGGAAGGGGAGCGGGAGGAAGCGGGGAAAAGAGAAAGTTCGAGTCAGAAATGAGATGGAAAATGAAGGGTTTCCGCCCAAGTCAGGGCGGTGCGCTCAGATTGATCGCGCCGTCGAGAGTCTGTGCAATTGGGCGGGCGGTAATATGTACACCTACAAGCGAAAACGACGAATTCAGAAGCAGGTAGGCAGTCATGAAGGAGGCACAATTAACGGTAGCAGATGTGCGCAGCGCGCGGAACGGTCGAAAAGCACGAGCGCGGGTGTTTTGCCATACGTTAGTGGCACATATTATGGTTGCACTGCTATGTTGTAAGGGGCACCTACCGTCGGTGGGCGGCACGATGACGTGGAGGACGTAGATGACGTCACCCGGCTGGCATCGGCTGATCGTCCATTGGATGAGCCCTCTGCCTTCCTCCGATAGAGTCACCGCCACCACGATGTGGTCCGGCTGCCGCTCGATACAGTCACCCTGTAGCATCGTCCCTGCCTGTTGTCACAACGCTGCAAAAACCTTTCCCAACGGCTAGCTTGCGTCCCGCCGGTGAATTTTCTAGAGCTTCCAATATGGCAAACGGGCAGTTTCACAAAGCATCCGTATATTGTCTCCTACTTCTGGTGCGGCAGCGAGGCCTCGAGTCACACACTTCTGCGATCGACACCACGGTGTCTGTTCAGTTGCATGGTGTGGTTGGGAAATGGAGGTGTCGGCTGCCGCAAAATATAATCTCCCTCCGCACTCTGGTATTGAGGCGCCTTGAAACCCTTCAGCTCGTCATCGAGCCGCGACGGCCCAAGTCATTTGGGTACCGCGGGTAATCTCTATCAGCGCCGCGGGCTCGAAGCTATTACTAAAGAATAGCGCGTGAAAGGCAACGTGGGTGTCTTCGTCAATGCGACTAGTTACGAGTCAATGTTCGGTTGTGCACCTTCTACTCGACCCACTGGCAGTGCCTGCTTCAGTACATACAAACACCAATTAGGTTCTGCAAGAGCGTGCGGTTCTTAGAGCCGCAGGGGACGGAGTCACACGTTATTCTCTGTGTTACTCGGGCTAGACGGGCTGCCTGCGATGATGGCAGGATGTAGGCGGGCTAAGAGAGACGAGCGTATTTGGGCGAGCGAGGAAAAGCATAGGACGAGCGCTGTGGCGATGAATGGAGAGAGAAGAACGGAACAAGAGGAAATCGCACAGCAATGCTAGCATCCCCTACGAGAGCTAGGCAATTGCCACGAGAGGTCGTACAATACCTAAGATCTGCTCGCGCCGTCGCTGTGACTGCAGCTGTGTCGGTGACTGCAGTCACCCTAAGCGACACATTACATCCTCTGCGCTGCGCTAAGGCTTGGGGAGAGCGCTGAGAACAGCGGCAGATAAGGGACAGCAAGCCCACAGGTGGTTGACGTGGCAGCAGCTGGCCAGAGTGAATGTGTTGCGCATTTAGCTTTCTCGCCATGGGATTGATAGAATTTCATCGGCGGGCTTCTTAGAAACTCTCCTCCCCGCCTGCCTATCTCCAGTCCGCTCCACCCCTCTCTGCCCTCACTCTCTGCCTGAAATGCACGCAGTTTCGGTGGCTAGGTGGGTGGGTACTGCTGTCAGTCTCAATTCCAATTTCCAGCCGAGGCGCGCGAATAGTCTCGGTCATTACGGCGGGAATGTGCGCAGCGGGCTTTGTCGCAGGGGGCCTCGGCCAATCGGCGAGGTTGGGCTCAGCGTCACACGCGTTGTCGCCGAGTCGAGCTAAAGCCTCGCGCCCTCTTCGCATACGGCGGGGATGTCAGTCAGGTGTGTCGCACGCGATTGACCTGGGTCAGACAGCGCGGCGCCACCTGTCGGGCCGAGATGGACTGGTTCAGATGAACATGGGTGTTCTGGCAAGTCTGACAGGGCACACGCAGCAAAACGACAAAACGACATATCCCCACAAACCGCTAAGTAGCATACAATTCATCTATTTTAGACAATCTGGATAAAACAATTAGGCCACATCATAGACCACATCCTACAATAAATGCACATTTTTTAGTTGCATAGCAACCCTATATAACCGGTTTCACTTTTTGGGAATATCATTCAAGAGTGTTTTTCAAAGCATTTTTGGAGCAAATATTTCAAGAGAAGGCAAAAAAAAAAACATTTGCCAGAATTACGTATATCAAAACGTGAAAACAATAACAAACATTCTATGTTGAAGACATAAACATGTCCGACTATCCCAGCATCGTCGATTAATACGACGGATGGTATGATCGAACAATATAGTACAGCATCAACATGTACGAGTGCAACTGACGTGGATGAACAAAATGTTGATATGTGCAACTATTGAAATATACATTTTTATATAACTGCATGCACACATAGTATCGTATCACTGTAGTATTTCTATGTTGGTGGTGTATGCTGTTATTGTCAAACTCATATGCTATAGTCTGTGTAGGCTGTAGTGGGGTAGACAATATGGGGTACAACACTTTTAGGTTTTCCTACTTGTACCCACCTGCTTGCTAGTTCACTCATCCCTCGTTCTTTCACATGGTATAGAGCAGGTTCCCTAGTGGGAACGTTTCCTAGGGCCCACCGAATATCATTTTTTTTTTCTGCCCGGAGCACGCTTCGCCCCTGCCCGGGTCGCGCCCCGTGTGCCTACCCTCCCGTCGCGTCCCCTGCCCTTGGTGGCCCGTCGCGCTCCCCTAAGGCCCCGTAGCGGCCCCTCTCACGGCCCTTCGGGCCCCTTCAGGCCCCTCGTGGCCCCTTCGCGGCCTCCCTTCGCGGCCCCTTCGCGGCCCCTTCACGGCCCCTTCGCGGCCCCTTCACGGCCCCTTCGCGGCCCCATCACGGCCCCTTCGAGGCACCTTCACGGCCCCCTCGCGGCCCCTTCGCGGCCCCTTCGCGGCCCCTTCACGGCCCCTTCGCGGCCCCCTCGCGGCCCCTTCACGGCCCCCTCGCGGCCCCCTCACGGCCCCCTCGCGGCCCCCTCGCGGCCCCTTCACGGCCCCCTCGCGGCCCACTCACGGCCCCCTCGCGGCCCCCTCGCGGCTCCCTCGCGGCTCCCTTCGCGGCCCCGCCCCGCTGCCCGTAGCGGCCCCGCCCCGTCGCCAGTCGCGGCCCCGCCCCGTCGCCAGTCGCGGCCTCGCCCCGTCGCCAGTCGCGGCCCCGCCGCGTCGCCAGTCGCGGCCCCACCGCGTCGCCCCTGCCTCGTCGCGACGCCCCTGCGGGACCCGCGAGGCGCGGCTCTTGTGCGTCGTGACGCCCCTGCGGGACCCGCGTGGCGTCACCCCTGCCCGCCGCGGCGCCCTGCCCTAACCCGCGCCCTGGAGCAGCCGCCACTACAGCAGCCGCCCCTGGAGCAGCCGCCACTACAGCAGCCGCCCCTGAAGAAGCCGCCCCTGAAGCAGCCGCCCCTGGAGCAGCCGCCCCTGAAGCAGCCGCCCCTGGAGCAGCCGCCACTGCAGCAGCCGCCCCTGGAGCAGCGACCCCTGCAGCAGCCGCCCCTGCAGCAGCCGCCCCTGGAGCAGCCGCCACTGCAGCAGCCGCCCCTGGAGCAGCCGCCCCTGCAGCAGCCGCCCCTGGAGCAGCCGCCACTGCAGCAGCCGCCCCTGGAGCGGCCGCCCCTGCAGCAGCCGCCCCTGGAGCAGCCGCCACTACAGCAGCCGCCCCTGGAGCAGCCGCCCCTGCAGCAGCCGCCCCTGGAGGAGCCGCCCCTGCAGCAGCCGCCCCTGGAGCAGCCACCCCTGCAGCAGCCGCCCCTGGAGCAGCCACCCCTGCAGCAGCCGCCCCTGGAGCAGCCGCCCCTGCAGGAGCCGCCCCTGGAGCAGCCGCCCCTGCAGCAGCCGCCCCTGGAGCAGCCGCCCCTGCAGCAGCCGCCCCTGGAGGAGCCGCCCCTGCAGCAGCCGCCCCTGGAGCAGCCACCCCTGCAGCAGCCGCCCCTGGAGCAGCCGCCCCTGCAGCAGCCGCCCCTTGAGCAGCCACCACTGTAGCAGCAGCCCCTGGAGCAGCCGCCACTGCAGCAGCCGCCCCTGGAGCAGCCGCCCCTGGAGCAGCAGCCCCTGCAGCAGCCGCCGCTGCAGCAGCCGCCCCTCGCCCTACAGTGGTCGCGGCCTCGCCATTGCCGCCGTCGTACGCCTGCCCTTCTCGCCACTGGTGAGCACTGCCCTGCCCGTACTGCTGTTACTGCTGCTCTTGCTGCTACTGCTCTTTCTACTGCTACTGCTACTCCTGGCGTGGCCAGATGCAGCTCCAGCGCCCTCCGCGTGAGTCCCTCGCCCCCCAACAGCTTCGTGAGTGGTACGCTAGTTGGGGTTGTAGGGGTGGCCGCGCTGCGACTACTGCTATTGCTACTGCTGCTACTACTGCGGCTACCACTGCTCCTGCTGCTCCTGGCGGTGGCCAGATGCAGCTCCAGCGACGTCCGCGTGAGTCCCTCACGCCCCAGCAGCTTCGTGAGTGGTACGCTACTTGGGGTTGTCGGGGTGGCCGTAGTGGGAGTCGTCCTGGAGTGAGTAGTTCGGCAGCTGCTTGTAGTGGCCAGGTGCAGCTGCAGCGTCGTCCGTGCGCGGTCCTTTCACCCCAGCAGCTTCGTGAGTGGTACGCTCAGCGTGACGGGTCACGGGGTACTGCTCGCTGTCCGTACGTCATTCGCACTGGTGCTCCGACTGGTCAGCCTTGCGCGACGTTTGGTCACGCAGAGTCCCGCTGCTTCGCCTGTCTGAGCGACGCCTGGCGTACGGAGTTTGGCGACGCGGCTGAGCTCCCCGACTGGGTGGAGCTGCTTAGGCTGAGGGTAGATATCTATACTCTTGACTATGATGCTATCCTCACTGCCATGTATGCATTGCCTACTAGTGATGAGGGTGACTGTTACCTGTGTGTTCCGCCTGACCCGGGCATTGAGACTGCTGCTCTAGGTGCTGGTGAGGCTGCTGCTCTAGGTGCTGGTGAGGCTGCTGCTCTAGGTGCTAGTGAGTCTGCTGCCCCAGGTGCTGGTGAGTCTGCTCTCTCAGGTACCACGTCGGCTCAGGCCTCCCACACCTTCACCCTTGACTCGGGTGCTTCCCGCTCCTTCTTTCGAGACCGCACCACACTCACGCCGCTTAGTCGGCCAATTGCGGTCTCCCTGGCAGACCCCTCTGGGGGTCCTGTCCTTGCCCACTTCTCCACTGTTCTACCGTGTCCGGCGGCCCCTTCTGGCACCCTGTCGGGTCTTTACCTCCCCTCGTTCTCTACGAACTTGGTGAGTGGTGCTGACCTCCAGGATGGAGGGGTTCACCAGTTCACTCCTGCGAGTCAGCGAGTGACCCACTGTACCTGTGCTCGGACGGGCCGTCACTTGGCCACGTTTACCCGTCAGCCGGGGTCGAGCCTGTACACACTGACTACTGAGTCTCCTCCGGTCGCTGAGTCTGCTCAGGTAGCCGCGTCGGGTCAGGTGTTTGCTGCGGCGTCCAGGTCTGGTCCTGAGTCTGCCCCCTGCTCGT